GAGCCTGCAAACTGGCATGTCCAGTTAATGCAGCATTATCGGCGGTGTCATGCATCGTGCATGCACGGAGAAAATGTTAAACCCTAATTGAATCTAGTGTGGGTGGATGGGGTGGGCTTACAAGCAACGCAAGCGCGGGGCCAGGGGCGTTTCACGCTCGAGCGCGCGACCTCGCTTGCACACCCTAATCCCTAAAGCCTAAACCACCCCAAACCGGAAGCCCTAAACATTCAGGCTTCCGACATGAAACCGTCAGAGCAGTCCAAGAAACCTAGCCTTCAAACGGGTTTAGGGTTTATAGGGCTTAGGGGTTTAGGGGTCTACGTTCGGAGTTTAAGGGTTTGGGGTTTAGGGTTGACGGGTTTAGGGTCTACCTGGACAGCCTAGTTGTATTAAAAAAGCAGCACTGGTAGGAAGTTGACGCTTTTGGGGTAGAAATCAGGCACTGGCAAAAGTGTGGCTTTTTCAGCTTGGGCCTTTACATGTATGGTACCTTGCAAAACCTTGACCTGGCCTTCATCAAGCTCCGCAAGTGATTGTAAGCCCATCATCACATATCATCCCCACACAATGAAGAAACCCAGCAACCTGAAATTCCTGGAAGCATCCAAGATAAGACCCATCCGAAATATACCCAGACCTGAAGCAACTCCAAAGAAATGCTTCACGACCCACCATCCTCTTTCCATGCGGCGGTGCTGGCGATCGCACAAGGACCGTGTGCAACCAGTTGGGCTTTTGTGGCATTAAGGTGTGGCATTAAGGGGATACCCATAGCTGTAATAATGAAAATGATACAGGAGATATGGGGAACTACCAGTTGCACTTGACATGGAGCAGGTAGCGCTCAAGTGTTCGTAAGTGGATGGTAGTAGCATGCACCTTCCTTGAGGCCATACTTACTCGTCCCACCAAATCTTCATCCAGTTGGGTGCTGCAGCTCATTGGGTTTACACTTGGAAGATCTTCGGCTCTCTCCTTCTGAAGGGCGAAAAGAACTTCAGCAAAGTAATGGAATTTTGGCTGCACTTTCCAGCGTGTTAAGTCCCACTTGAATGCCTCGTTTGCCAGCAATTTGAAAGAATGAACAGCTTTCAATCCGCTGCTGATCGCTGAATCTCGTTCAACATCCAGCAGCCACAGACCAGCATGCAACAACACGCGCATGAAGTCATTTGCGCCTGAAATTCCATCTACAATCAGGCTCACGTATGATTGATTCTCATCTGCCAGCATAGGCAGCAGGCCCGACAACTTCGCACACAGATACCGACACAAGGAACTTGTGTCTGCACCTTTGAACCATGACCTCGAAAACTTGTCATTCACAACAACCCACCCCCAGTAAACCCATGTAGAAACACAAGAAATTGAAAGGAAACATTGTATACTTTGCAGCCTAAACTCGCTGAGGGGAAGTTGCTTGCCCGTTGCATGCCCAAAGCATCTTTAGTCAATGCGTTCATATGAAGTTGCAGCTGATTCTGTGAGCAATATTGCTTCGCATCCTTGTAGATACTCGCCAATACCTTGTCCAGCGAGACGTTCCCCAGAATCTGCAAATCGTAGAATTCAACCTGAGCGGCTATTCTAAGATTACCATTCCCCACCCCAAGAATAATTTTACGAGACTAAAGCAGGATTCGGATTTACGAGATTTTCCAAACATGAATTATGAACACATACTGGAGCAACAATTGCGTTGGCTGCCATATCTGCGAAGACCCCCTTCAGCAACGTGTGGAATATGTCCAGGCGGAAAAATTCAGGTTTGTGTGTTGGACTCTGTGGGATCTTGCTGATGAGGGATGGCTCGGAATCCCATGGGTCTGGCAGGTTCACCTTCATGTTCTGCATAGCCTTAAACCCAGTGAAGTGCCATGAGTGGCCCTGAGTCCCAGCAAGACAGAGGTGGCATATCCCCTTTCCCACCCCACTTGGTGTGTCCCTGAGGAAGTGCCGTTGTAGCTTTCCTATCTTTATGAAAGCTTGCAGGCCCCCCTTGCATCCCAGGCAAACCAAAAAAAGCTTCTTCGTCCAGATACCTTTTACAGCGATTGCTTCAGAAAAACAGTTGCCAATGTGTTCTGCAAACGAGTTGATGAGCTTGTGCAATGGGGCGTGGTCTTTCTTCTTGCCTGCATAAACTTTGCCGGATAATACTGAATACAAAAATCTGGTCGTCGTAGACACTCCCAGCATGTTTATATCCTCGGCGCGTCGGCTACCCCATCCCAAAATCGGCTGGGTCTCAAGTATCATCAACGCCTTCTTTTTTGGCTTGTGCCTTCGTCTGCAAAGCACCACATTGGAATGCAGCTGTGAAGTTCATTTCGGTGTACTGAAAATATGGGGTGATCGGGCTGTAGAAGCCTCCATTGCTCCCAAAATTCCAAATAATCATCACCAGTGTGCTGGCAAAGGAGTAGGTCCAATTTCCCCTCACTGGATAGCATTGTTACGAAATCTTTGGGGGTCAGTACTGGGTGAGGCTGTTCTGTACCCACGTCCACATACGTCGTCGTCATCGTGATAGTCAAGTCATACTTTTGGAAGATGTCATTCAGGGAATGCTCATGTTTGGTTTGTTTCAGGCGGGTTGCATCCCTTAAGAAACCACTGCTCGAGGCCTCAATGGAATCAGCCAACGGTTGCATTTCTTCCCAAAAGCCAGCAGCCAGCGAACAAGCTTCAGCTTGACTTACCTAGGATGTACCCACACAAACCCCCAAAAAAATCAACAGGAGACTCAAGGAAACAAAAAATAATCCCCAGCTCGAGTTGTTGTTGCCCTGTATAGGGGTTCATAGGTTTTGCTGATACATCCATAAGGAGACTTTAGCTGGGGAAAATGGGATTTTCTATTGGTCGGGCTTGCAACAAGCCACACCCTTGGAAACTGCAGTAGCAATAGCCTTCGCAGCAGGACCCGCAGTGGTGGATCGCTTCTTCGTTGTCAGCTGATTGCCTGCAGAGGACATGGGCCTATGCGCAACCTTGATTGAGATAGCCATGGGGCAATAGAAGCTCTGGCATGAAATCATTTTTTGCACCCCCTCTTGCTTCTGTTGGTAGAAGGTTCGATTAATCCCGCTGGCATACCAGCAGAAGTGAACACGGCAACCTGCGAGCTTGAGAACCCATGACCAGTAGCGCTCTACAGGAGATATTTATAAAAATCATGCAGGGAATGCCCTATCAGAAATATTAGTGGGGATGTATATACATGGTATACTCAATCTCGGTCACCACACCCAAAGCAGGCTATCCCTGCAGCTAGAGAAACTTGTTGAGCTGGCCAAGCCAACGTCAGGACCTCGTAGCCCGGCTCCATCAATGGCACTGATTCAGAGGCCGGACATTCCTGAGAACGAGATGTATTTCCCAGTCATGCTAGAATTGGATATAGCAGTAGCCACACAATCTATACACGCTCTAGGTATGTGTGCAGTTTGTTGGCCAAGTATCTCAGTTCTTTGCCTTCGCCTTTGCTGTTGCCTTGCCTTTGCCCTTGCCCTTGCACTTGCCTCCTCCTTTACCCTTTGCACCGCCATTCTCCCCACTACCACCTTTGCCCGAAGAAGGGGCCGCAGAGTCATCCTCGGCGCAGCAACATGCAGTATAATCCCCCATAAAGTGCAATAGCATCCCGAGCACTCCCGAATACTCCAGAACTTGTCTATAATGGAGGCGCCTGCTTCGGCGACGAGCGCAGCAAAGTCCTGCGCAGGACATTGACGGGTTTTAGGGTTGGGGAAGCTGTATTTGGAATCTGGGTCGCGTACTTCTTGACTTTGACGTCTTCCATGATGGCACGGCTGCACCTATAGAGATCATAGAGAAGATTGATACGTTGAACAAAGCTCCAGAAGACGGACTATGTTAAGTAAGGGCTGTGCGCGGTTTCAATCTTCTTGACCATGGCTTCAATCTCCTGAATCTTCCTGAGTTCTGGGATTGTGAAGTATGTTTGCAGAAGGCAACGCGATATAATCAAGCAGTTGAAGGCGGCTATATAAAGGCAAGTTGCTTATCAGTGGGCTCACCTTTTCCGTCAAAGTCGCTCTTCAGATCTGCCAGCTCGTCATGCAATGTAATGAGTTTCTCGCGGTGCTCGGCAAGGCTCTTCAGGCACCTGAAGTTTGCACAGAGTACACTGTTTCTCCACAGATCTTCATGGCTAAAGTGCAGTTTGTGTTTGTCATTATACGTACAACACTTCAGGAAAGCTACTTTTGCTGCTTCTGGATCCTTGCTCTTCCTGGCTTCCAGCTTGTCACTGGTGCCCTCGACCCTAGTCCTCACCCGCAGGAGGTTGGTCAACACGTCGGAGACATTCTCGATAGCCTGCGTTGTGCTCAGTCAAGAGTTATTATAGGAGGGTTGCATCTTAGTGGGTTTTGGAATTAGGGATACTATTTGCATGGGAAATGTGGAAATGATTTCAGATAGAAGATTTCTGGGTCATGATATAAGATTAGTGTTTGCATGTAGCTCGAGAGATAATGAGTTGAAAACAAACCTCACCCCAACCCTTGAGCCCACGCCTCCAAAGCACGCTCTTCCTCCACCTCATCGGCCTTCACACGACGCTTGCATCCCCTGTTGCTAGAGGGAGGCTTTGCATCCTCCAGGTCTGACCCGGCATCACTCTCCTCCTCCTCATCATCCTCCTCATCTAGCTGATTTTCAGGGTCCATGGGCATGCCAGGCTCAATACCTCCGAGGACAAGCGTGTTGCCCTTCCCCTCAACCAGGGAATGGTCCACAATTTCCTCCTTCTCCTCCTTTTCCCACGTACCCGTGGTCTTGGTGTCCACCCAATATTCCCATACCTTTCTTTCGTATTTGTCTCTCCTGGGAAGCAGATCGAAGCATTGTTGCGCAACACTAGCAAAAAACACACACACACACACACTGCCCAGGTCCTCATGTGCGTGGCCCGGCGAGACTTCTTCGAACAATAGGCCACTACAGCAGCTATGCGCTGCCTCGGTGTTTTCAGTAATAAACTTGTTACAACTAGTGCCACCTAACATGCACCGGGGAAGTACATATTGTCAGTAAAAGTGGCTTCGGGAAGCCCTCCTTCTTCATGGCTTCCTTCGTGTACCATCCACTGTCAACCTTCAGCTTGTTGGAGCGGGCGGTTTTCCTGATGTGCTCGATTCTCTTGAGGAACTCCCCCTGTTGGAGCAGTTTTGTGAAAGGGCATATGAGTAGGGGAATCGAAGTAAAAGTAGTATATACAATTATAGCTATACAGCAACAGTACGAAAATTCCCTTATACATCACTATGGAATCCTTGGCTGCCTGACTAAATCGAGACCCCGAAGATTTCTGTTGGGAGCAGTATAGACTTGCTTATGGGCATACCATAAACAGCCCTACATGACCCTATGATAAGGTATATGCTTTTGAGTGCAATGGGCATCCTTGTTGCCATCCAGGGATACCAGGATCTTCAGCAGATGCTTCCGTGAGCTACCCCCTTTAAGCCATTGTGCCCTGACCTCCGGGGCCACCTCGATTGCCCCTGTTCGAGCTTTAGGTGTCTCCGCAACTTGTTATCCATCTTAGCCAGCATCTTCTCTTCATCCGACTTCACCTGGGCAGCTTATAGATAGGTTGGGGATTCTATGGATGTACATGCGAAGCAGGAAGCCCTCAAGTACTGAACCCAGCCTTCTTCTTGCTAGCGTCCGGAGAGTCTGAACACCCTGACGTGTCCTCCGGGGATGTAAGCTTTTAAGGGATTTCGATGGGGTCATAGAAGGCATTTTGAAAATCTTATATTCGCGTGTATACCCAAAAGGCTCAACCCTGTGTAACTACTCTAATCGGGGTCGTGGAACCTTCTCTCAGGACTATACCTTACGTAAACCCAACATCTACAAAAAGTATAAAGAGCCTATATACATATATACATATTTATTTATTTATCTATTATATACCCTTACCCGACAGAAGTTGTTTTAGGCCTTTGCATCAATCAAGTCTTCTATACTGGAAGAAGCCACCAAAAGATCCCAACCCCCAACAGAAGGGAATACCTCCTCTCCAGGTGCGCAGAAAGACACCCCTCGAAAACCCAAAAGCCCTCAGAGGAACCTTGTAAAGCCACCCTGTATCTATCGAAAAAGCCACATATCCAGTCCTTGTCCTCATCAGTCGGCACTGTCATCAGGTCGAAGGGGTTGGCGAAGGGGTTGGCGAAAGGGTTGGCGAAGGCCTTGGCGAAGGCAGGGGCGTGGTCCTCGCAGTCTTGTGAGTTCTGGGCGTTGACGCATTGAGCTCGGACAAGCGCTTCCTTGCAGCCTGGGTTGAAGTTGTCTGTAGGCATATTGGGATTCAAGATTGACAGGGCACATGAATATCAAACACGCGTGTGCATGCCTAGCAGCATTCAGAACATCCTGCGCTTGCATTGCACCACCAAAGGAAGCTTGCTGTTCTACCAAGAAGGAATTAGCACGCAAAAGAGTGTCGCAACTCCATGCCTTCGAGGCCAAAGGCCTCAAGTCAGAACTAGAGGCTGCAGTATTTGCAGCCGACATTCAGTCCCTCTAAGATTGGCCAAGTCAGCCAGCCTTCGCACCAAAAATGCTATAGACACAAGTACTTGACAAGAAATCTCATCTCAAGTTCCTCGTGATTGAAGCAAGCAAGCCTGTTCTCTGTATTGTAGACAGCTTCAAAAGCGCACTTGCATTGCGTAGCCCAAGCACCCGTTCCAGGCTCGTTCGAGCCGTGAGACGTGGAGGCCAGAAGTATGTTGATTTCAGGGAAAATCTTCTGAATCTACGGGCAATCACTCAGGATCCTAAAGGTATACAAGGGTTTCTTGCCTCCAACTTTTCAGAAAGAACTGCTTGAAATGCGCGCAGAGGGGCGAAATTCGGGAATGGCAAAGTTGCTGCTTTTTCTGCTAGGATTCCTACGTTTACTTACGGCACTTTAGCAGGTATTTACGGCACTCTACAGAAATAAAGGCACAGCGCCTGAATCCAGGGTTTTCGTGACTTCCCATTTTCTCCGAAACAACAGCTTTAAGTTGCTTTTCCCGAACGCGGTCCCCGAATAATAATTGCTTGCCCTAAAGAAGACAGAGGCCTCTGCATCTAATTGAAATGGAAGCATGAAGCTTGGCTGGGGATCAGAGCAGCAGAGCCGAGGCCCACAGGTACAATTAGGCTTCCAAGCATCATCCTGTATACTCATCCATACTGATTCCTGACCCCTCCTTAGGCTCCGCCTTGGCCTGCATTTGCAGGCGTGTACTTTCGCCAGGCTTCTGGCAATTGTAAACCCACTCTACCACGTAGGTAACGGATAACTTCGTGGGTTCTAGCATCCTTCCATAAGTCTGAGAACAGGTTCTCCTCGAAGCAAACCTGGTCAGCCGACATCCTGAAAAGGATGCACCTGGGCACAGAACGGGCTTCAAGGGTTATTCAGGGGCATCAGGGAATATCAGACAACCGGCGCGATTTCAATTGCAGACAGAGGGCACAAACATTCATGGGCGGCTCTCTCTCCTTCTCGAAAGTCTTGCGGATGACCAGGGAAGCCAAACGGTTGCCGAAGCCCCTGGGGTATTCCCTTAGTGTGTTACGCATGGCACTATAGGTGATTGTGAAAAAGTGACACGGGACATGCATCGTGTACAAGTGAGGCCGGAACTGGGATTTCTTGAGTCGGGAATGTCCTTTGTACCTTCTCTTGCCCTGTCGATCCACATAGATATCTGCCAGTGGCCCAACCTTCCTGCCTTTTCTAGCCTTCGCCGTCGTAGCAACTTTTCGAATGGCCCGTGAATTGCTCCATAACGTGGTTGGTTTGGGGCACTTGCCACCCCAGCCTTGCATGTAGAACTTCTGCTTAAAGACCTGCAGGGTTTGTCAGTTCGCCTCTATGGGGTTTATAGGGATATATGGGGTTACAAGGGTTTATAGGTTGTATAAGGTCTATAAAGGGGCATATTATATATTATTCAAATCTATTATAAGGTTCATATGTAGGGTATATAGGGGTTTGAGGGCAACGTGGGGTTGCATGAGTGGGCTTCATGGGATGCCCGAGAAAAGATTATATATACCCTGATACTAGGGGGGCAACAGCTATATAAGCATTTCCTGCGCCCTGGTACCTGGCCCAAAAACCGGTCTAACCCACAACACAATAGTACCCCGATGAAGATGAGTGTGCCTGCAAAGTGAAAAGAAGAACAAGTATATGCTTCTATATACATAGACATAGACCTATATATATTATATATATATACAAACATACAACAACCTTTTCCTTCTGCACTTTACAGGCACACCTTCTTCCTGTATAAACCTTCAAGTGCGTTCGGGGCTTAAAGGTGTATGACCAACCCCTTGCCTTCTGCAACTGCAAGAGCTGTTGAAAGCGCGGTAGACGGAAGACTAGTGAGGAAGATGGTTGCTCTAGCAGCCAGCAGCCATCGAGAGCATGGGTGAGATATATCGCCAATATCATCCTGCATCTGTTGCAATGCTTATATGAAACTTCGGGCCCCCATAACTTTCATAGTTCACCTATATAGTATATATATATATCTACCTATATACCCTCAGCACCCAGTCCTTGAAGCAAGTAGGTTTCCCATGATTACACTTGGCGCAGACTCATCACCCAGCGGCAAAAAGAAATGCCGGTAAGTGCTGCCTCTCGAGACGGCAACGAATGATGAACCGACGAGCCCAAATGAAGTCGTGAATTTCCCACGGCATCGAAGGATTGTGTTCAACAGAAGCCTCAGATGAATCTGAAAAGGGCGCACAGATTTCCAATCGAATATGAGTCCCTGGAAGATTGAGTTCAGGACAAGAACCATGTCCATCAAAACAATGTGGCATGAATATGCGAACATGGTGAGTATGCAAGCTGAGTAGCGCGAAGCCAGGCGCCGAACAGAGGTCCAACCCGTTATGACATTTCAAATGTTTACCTTTAGCACCCCGCTTTTCAGCAAAAGCTCTCCAGTCACACACATCCAGGTTTGCCACTCCAAGCCCAGCGTTGCGGAGGCTCTGCGAGAGAACTGCCGCCCCGCTAAACACTTCGACAGCGTCGTAGATCTACAGGGGCTGTGGTTTTGTTTCGGGTTGTGAAGCTCAAATGTCGGGAAACGGTCTGTTCGTTCCGTTCATATGGGATTCTGAAGACCCAACCCCTGGCCTCATCCCACTGCATGCCATCGGTGTGGGCCAAAAGAACCACCATCACTAGCAGAACCTGAGGCTTTCAGGCTTGTGTTGCAATTTTTGGGTATACAAAGCCGTAATGCCCACATGGACAGGATTGCGTGGGTCAACACGAGCTTTAGGCAAGCAACTCCGGGAGCTCCAATCGACCATAGCCGATGAAGCACATAGTTGAGCTTCTGCCATGTTGGTACGCTAGTAGAACGATAAGCAAAAGCTTGTGAGCAATACCACAGAACAGATTCATGTGTCTTGTGATCAACTGCTTCCAATTCCCATTCTCTGAGAGCAGGCAAAGAGCACAGAGCGGGTCCGGGGCGCACCTTCGGTAGCGTGACGCTTGCGAGAGGCATTCATCTCCTGCACCACCTGGCCGTGCCAAGGCAGAGCTTTGGGAACTTTGGGGCTCTAGTAATTATCGGGTTTAAGCAAATCGGCGCCCGAAAGAGGCTGCAAAAAGTATGATTCATTTGCTCGCTGGGGCAGCAGGTTGACTTCAGTTTGATGGCATGTCCCACGCCGATGAACATCTTTGCGCTGTTGCGCAAATCACGTATAGCGCAGGAGCTGTAGCAGGTTTGAATGGAGTGATGACCAATGGCAACCATACTCTTTGCAGACCACAGCTTGAACAGCTTTTATGTCGGTTATACATGGTCCCTGCAGTGTCTATTCATGGGCCAAAATCTGGAGCATATAGTCCCCCTACAGCTATAGGGATAGAATCGGATAGAAACCACCACACATGAGCATACATCACTCCATCTGCACAGGCTCCTTGTACCCTACCCTGTCGAAAAGCCAGGATATCCCAGCCTTCCACCCTACCACATCCCCCAGAAACATTGTTGAAATCAACGCAAAATGCGTCAGCTGCAGGGAGCCGAACACCATGGATGAGAACCGAGTCATCGCTCCTGAGATTTTGAGGCAGCGCGGACAGGGCCAGGAATGATGGGGGAATGGGTTCAGCTTATATGGGTATTATACTTCCAAAGGGGTTCTGCCAGGCAACAGAAAATCGCAAGGCCAGATCATTCAAGACTGCAAGGACAAACTTCTTGTGGTCTCATGTGCAAACAGGGGACGGGCAGAAGATCGGAGTAGCTGGCAATAATACAGCATCACTTGGACTTGCGCTTGCCCTTGAGCGCCACCTTCATGCCACCATTTGCCATCTCCCCCCCCTCATCATCTGCCTCTTCAGCAGCCTCATTGCTCAGGTTGGCCAAGGCAGCTTGGTACTCAGGATTCCCAGGATCACCCCTCATCTGCTCTGCACTCTTGCCGCGGAAGCTGGTCTTGCGGCAGGCTGTGCAGCCCCAGAAAATGAACCTGCAATTGGAACATCCTAGCGTTTGCTCTTCAAGAACGT